GTGTGTGTGTGTGAGAGAGAGAGTGTGTGTGTGTGTGTGAGTGTGTGTGTGTGAGAGAGTGAGTGAGTGTGTGTGTGTGTGTGTGTGTTCGTGCAGCATGTCAGAGTGTGATTTCTGTTAAAGCAAACACATTCACGTCAACTTCCCTCTGAAAAGCAGTGAAGCTACCAAATGATCTCGCGCACTAGCTGCAGTGAAGGACCAACTCCTAAAATAGGTCGATATAAACAGCTTTACGTTTTCTCAAATATTAGTTTTCCTTCTATCTCTTACCAGCGAACATGAAAATCCGGTTGTGCTTGATAGACAAAACTAAAACTTTTTTATTCTAAAATACTCTTTATCTAGTTTTCGTCGCATCCCTCTTGGAGACCGAGTTCGTCCAAACTCCCGTTTCGAACGGCTGTCCGAATATCCACCACCGTCTTCTTCAAAAATAGAGATTCTCAACCAGCGCAATAAAATAACTGTGTCAGTTCTAGCTTTCGGTGAGAGCGCCTTCTAAAACCGTCCGTCTACAAACGCCGTCACAGTCAAGCGTCACGTGTTCTCCGACGGAGATCAGTTGTTTTCGTGAAACATCGGCGGCGCGTGAGCCTCCCGCGGGATTTCAGGTGTCGTCACTGTTTTCTTTCCATCGGCTGCTTCAAACACAGTTCGCTTCCCGCCGAGACGATTGGCAGGTTGTCTAAAGAAATTAATACTTTTATTCAGCAAGGATGCATTAAATTGACTAAAAGTGACAGTAAAGTCATTTATAATGTTACAAATTATTTCTATTTCAAATAAATGCTGTCCTTTTAAAAAGTTCTATGAATAAATGGATATTATATAATAGATGCTTTTTTGAACATTTTAGCAATTTAAAAATATTAAAAAAGGATTTTTTACACGGCACCCCTGCTCTCGACAGACGGCACCCCGGTTGGGAAACACTGAATTAGAGAATCCTTAAAATGTATCAGTTTCCATAAAAAACGAAGCAGCACAACTGTTTTCAACATTGATAATAATAGGACAATGTTTATTGAGCAGCAGAGTTATTTTAATATCAATGTCATAATTTTTTTGTTTTGTTTTAATTATAGTTACTATAAAACTTTTAAATAAATATAGTTTTATAATTATAGTTGTATATTTTATTATGTTATTTCTATTATAGTTTTTGTTAACATTTTTTATTTTTATATTGTTTTTCTTTTACACTGTTTTCATTTTAATTTCAGTAAGTTTTAGTAATTTTGTGGTGTTTTATTAGTTTTTTTCTAATATGTCTATAGTTTTTATTAAGTTTTAGTATGAACTAAACACAAAAAGCAACTAGCTGAAATAATACTTAATTTTTATGGATTTAATTTTAGTTTTAGTTAATGTAGATAACAAATCAGCATATTAGGATGATTTCTGGAAGATCATGTGATACTGAAGACTGGAGTAATGATGCTGAAAATTCAGCTTTGATCACAGAAATAAATTACATTTTAAAATATATTCACACAGAAATCAGCTATTTTAAGTTGTATTAATATTTCACTATTTTTACTGTATTTTTGATCAAATAAATGCAGCCTTGGTGAGCAGAAGAGAACAATTACACGTCCAAACGTTCACATTGGAAATATAGTATTTCATTCATTCAAACCTGGAACTAAACAGTTTTAGGATTTGGAAATGTTTTAAATAAAGTTATCACATAAAAACACCATGACTAATCAAATATAAGCAAATGAGTGTCACTGATCATGTGACTCTGTACAGACACAGATGGGACTTTGTCAGATCTTCTTTTCCACTCAAGCTCAAGATGCTCTTTGCAACATTTCAAATCATGCTGGAGAACACGATCATCAAGTTTCTCAAATCCATGTTCAACTTTTCCCTCCAATTGTTGTACTTTCAACTTCAAAGTTAGACTAAACTACAAAAGAACCTAAAATAGAAGCATTTTCTCAAGAGTTTGAATCCCACTATATTTACTTCAATACACTATAAAAACGGTTTTCAAAACAAAGATAAAAAATAAAAAAAAAGATTACTGGAGAAAATACTATTTCAGTATTTCTTCTTCAAAATGTCATGTTTAATTCAATGTGCTGTTTCTCTGTAATTATTTGTGACCCTGGAGCACAAAAGCAGTCTTAAGTCGCTGGGGTATATTTGTAGCAATAGCCAAAAATACATTGTATGGGTCAAAATGATTGATTTTTCTTTTATGCCAAAAATCATTAGGATATTAAGTAAAGATCATGTTCCATAAATATATTTTGTAAATTTCCTACCGTAAATATATCAAAACTTAATTTTTGATTAGTAATATGCATTGCTAAGAACTTCATTTGGACAACTTTAAAGGCGATTTTCTCAATATTTAGATTTTTTTGCACCTTCAGATTCCAGATTTTCAAATAGTTGTATCTCGGCCAAATATTGTCCGATCCTAACAAACCATACATCAATGGAAAGCTTATTTATTCAGCTTTCAGATGATGTATAAATCTCAATTTCGAAAAAATTGACCCTTATGACTGGTTTTGTGGTCCAGGGTCACATTTGTGAAATTTAATAGCAATTTCTGAGTTAAGAATGATTTGTCATTTTTCAATATGCGATTAGATATTGCTATAATCTACGGTGGCCGAGAGAGCTCAACCCGCTGCAAATATCTCTCGGCCACCGTAATAATCGGTTCATATTCAGCAATGCTCGGAGTAGGCTTTTTATGATTAAGAAATACTATATATATATAGAATTAATAAAAAGACACTCTCAAGTCATTAAAAACCCGCACCGTTCCCTCCGGATCGACCAGCAGCAGGTGTTTGGCCAGGCCGTGGTGCATCCCCGTCAGGACGTATGAGCCCGGGTTAGTGCTGCTCTTCCTCATTTACTGTATGCTTTGTTGGTATTTTCTCTCATTTTCCTGCTGCCACACGGGATGATGAAAAATAGTTTCAACAATCTAGTCTGCTGTGCCATAAATTGGCCAAATGGCCAGTATTTTTCAAGCAAGTTTTATAGGTAGCCAAAATACTAATAGAACAAATACAGGTGCTAAAAATAGGGTTGTATCAATGGCAACATTTTAGATAACATTAAAAATCTCACAGTTCTTGAATATATTAACACCACAGCAAAACCTAATACTAGTCAACATTTTCAGGCTTATTAAAGACATATTACATTCCCTTAAAGGGTTAGTTCACCCCAAAATTAAAATTCTGTCATTAATTACTCACCCTCATGTCGTTTCAAACCCGAAAGACCTCCGTTCATCTTCAGAACACAATTTAAGATATTTTTGATGCATTTTGATGCAGTATCTTAATTTGTGTTCCGAAGATGAACGAAGGTCTTACAGGTTTGGAACGACGTGAGGGTGAGTAATTAATGACAGAATTTTCATTTTTGGGTGAACTATCCCTTTAAGACGTAAGACATAGACATTATGTTCACTTAAGACTTAAGTTCACTTCCATGACGGCGTTTTGACATAACTTTGTGTGTATTTAACCGTTTAAGCACAATAAAAGTAAAACACTGCATTTTTATGCACCACCTTTTGATGGCGCTGTAAAACAGGTGCATTATATAGTCCTACAGCAGTGTTAGGAATGAATTGCCTCTAAACTCTTACTCATGTCAAAGAGGTCCTTCCTCGGGCTGTCTTTAGCTGTCCTGCTCGTGCCCGATTCAGACAGCGTCTCTGACTCTCCCTGGAGCGCGGCCAACACCTGCGTGTCAATGTGCTGCGTGTTCACATACGTGGGCACTTCTCCTGCCTTAGGGGTTTGACCTTTGACCTCAGGGAGACTGTATATGTCACAGGACCCTATACGAAAGGCACAGACAGAAGGATGATGATATTTTGAAGAATTGTTTTTTGCATTGACATGAGGTGTTTTGGGCGATCTGTCCATCTAAATGTGAAAACGGAGAAAATAAAGGGATTTGCACCTTGTTGGATGAACATGGGTCGGCCCTGGTAGTACGTCTGGTCGACTCCAGCGGCCTGTGTGGACAGCAGTAAACAACATGTGAGTCATCAACAACAGTAATGAAACACTGACCTGATGGAGTCCATATACACTGACAGACAGGAAACAGAGTCCACACTACAGGAAGTCATCTAAATGAATCATTTAATGCCACAGTTTAAAACATCTAAAATTAAAATCAAACTATTAATGCCAACATTTATACAAGCTGTTAAGAAGTAGACCATGCAGAATGTTTTTAAACAACTAATAATGTACTGATAACTAACTTAAGAAATGTTCTTATGTTAAATCATTTTTCTTACTTTTTTATTATTTTAATTATAATTTTTTATTATTGTTCTTTTCGATATTATCTATCTATCTATCCATCCATCCATCCATTCATCCATACATCCATTTTAAATTTAATTATATATGTTGGGATGGGAAAGTTGGAATTGTTATACTTACTGTACTGATAACTTACTTAAGAAATGCTCTTGTTAAATAATTTTTCTTACTTTTTTATTATTTTAATTATAATTTTTTATTATTGTTCTTTTCGATATTATCTATCTATCTATCTATCTATCTATCTATCTATCTATCCATCCATCCATCCATCCATTCATCCATTTTAAATTTAATTATATATGTTGGGATGGGAAAGTTGGAATTGTTATTTTTTGTGTTATTTCAACATGATAAATAAATAAATATTACTTTTAAATATATTATTTATTTTAATCATTATATACATTGTGGGAAAGATGTTTGTTTCGATAACAAAATATAATATTCATCTCTCATTTTAATTTAATTCTTATATATGTTTTGTTTCAATATTATATCAAAACATAATATTTAAATGTATTATTAATTTAATTATTATATGTTGGAGTGAGAAAATTGTAATTGTTCTGTATTTTGTGTATTTTATTTTGATATAACAAAATGTAATATAACATGTAATACATGACTTTTTTTAATATTATATGTTGGAGTGGGAAAAATTGAATTGTGCGGTATTTTGTGTTGTTTTTTTTCGATATGAAAACAAAATATAATGTAATATTTATTTATTAATAAAACATTTTTTTACACATGTTGGAGTGGAAAAATTGGAATTGTGTTGCATTTTGTGTTTTCGATATTATAACAAAATGCAATATTTATTTATTTTAATTGAATAAATATACTGTATGTTGGGGTGGAAATATTGCAATTGTTCTGTATTTTGCGCTATTAGTTTTGAGATTATAACAAAATATAATAAAAATAGAACTGTCACAAAATGTATGCAAACATTACCATTAATATCTGATTTATTTTGTTCCCTCAATTTAACATATTCTCTCGATTCATTTCAGTGACCTGATTTCCTGTATCTACAGAGGTAGATACTATGTTTTATGAAAACTTCAGAATAATAGCACAATCTTTACTATCATTATTTACCAAAAACCCAATTAATAAAGAGATATTGACAGAAACACAATAGTTGCAGTTGCATCGATCAGGTTACTTCACGAGTGTGGGCGGCTGATTAGCAGACCTGGCTGCTGTCTTGCGTCTGATTGGTCAATCTAGAGTCAATGAATCCTCCTGGTGGCGGCATCTTTCCGGGAATGTTGTTGTAGTAGTGATGATCGGCGGACTCCTCTCCTTCCTCCGTCCACGGGGGCTCGTCTGTACTCATAACCCTAAAGACAGGACACAATGAGAGGCAGAAGTGGTCTCAGATCAGAATCCTGAAGGTGTAGATGAGGACTCACCTGTCGTGCATGGACGAGGGTTTGCTGGACGGACACTGCAAATAGAGCTGAAAGCGCAGGTCAAACGCCTGACCGATCGTACTGATCACATCCTGAGCCAGACCGTCAGAGCACTCCAGAATATGACATGCTAGAAAACACAGGACACGTCAGGATCAATCTTAACAAACCTGTCCACGTCAGATTTCAACCCAAAATCAAAGGATAGAAGAAAAGTTTAGGAATTGTCATTAATTGTCATGATAATTAAGCACATTTAACCTCTAAATTCTCAATACTGTGGAAATATGATAATAGGTTTTTCAAATTTTAAAGGTTTTGTAAATTATGGTATTATTTATATTTCTATACATAAAACATATTTTACTGCAGTGTTATTTTAGTATTATTACTAGGGCTGCTCCGATTGATTGTCTACCAATCACTATCGGCCGATAATCACTTTGGGATGTTTGATCGGCGGTCTCTATAAAGGCCGATCTCAAGCTGATGACGTCTGCTGTCAGAGGTTTGACACGACGTGCAGCGGCACCGTCTCAGTCTCTGTCCGGTGTGGGTGAAATAATTATTATGCTGAAGCTGAGGTACAGTTCGTATTTCTTCATTAAATAACTTATAAAGTAGCTAATTTGAAAACTTTCTGTGAGACATAATTTCACAAACGGTGTGAGTGAATCATTGCGTGCGCTCTCTCGTTCTCTCAAAATGCGCAAATGGCTTCAAATCACATCGCGTCTGTCTATACGCGAGCTGTACGCTGCACAGTTGACACAGGAATTGTCACTTGCACAATCGCAAAAGTGTCGCATCGTCACTAAAGTTTATAAATTGCATTTATTTTTAATTCTTGCCAGTGTTTTAACCATTCAGTGCTCGCGCGCTCTCCTGGAGACTCATGCACACTCGCAGTGCACACACATAATGTCAGGTTCACATTACTCTGTTTGCAGTGAGTATTTTTTTCCGCGCTCATGTTAACGAATTAAAGCGTTCACAGTGCGTTCAGGAGCGGTGCGTCTGCAGCAGTGCAGAGAACGTTTCCACACCCAGTCTATTTTTGCAAACCTGTTACTGAATTAAAGTAACAGCGCATTGTTTGCGGTAAATATGAATATGGATTGACACGAAAATTTTGTAATTACACCATAAATGCATATAATTAAAGTCTATTGTGTTTCACAGTCAACACATAGGCTATGGCTTTTTGGCTAGGTTTAAAGGAAAAGAGCACTTTTAGATAAACAAGGCAATAATAGATGGCACTCGTGGAGGTAGGAAAACAAAGTTCTTTATGAACCGCAGGATTGCTTGTAATAAAGAATTAAATGCAAAAGAAATGGCAGTAGAGCTGACTGTTTTCAATGGTACGTTTTCATTTAGAATGTTTGTGATAACGTAAGAAAAGTAGTTTAAATCTTTTGCCACTTGCTTGAGCAACTTCATATATCAATCTAGAAGTAAATGCAAAAGTAAAAAGCAATGAATAATGTGTTTCTTATATTTATATTTATTATATAAGATTGTATTAGCTACTGCACTGTGTAAAAAAAGATAATAATTGCTGTTAATAGTGTTCATCGTCTGTTTGATTATGTCATTAACTGAATTTTACCATACATTTCTGCCATATGTACATCAATTTGACATAGTCATCACTGATAAGCTACTACTAAATATATTGTAGAAACTTAATTTCCTGTAAAGCTGCTTTGCAATGATTTTGTATCGTGAAAAGCGCTATACAAATAAACTTGAATTGAATTGAAATCAAAATAATGGATAAATGTTGTGTTTGTAGTAAACAGGCATGGATCAGGAGCAGACTCCTGTGTGAAAGCACAGTCTGTGCTGCTTCTATACCGCACATGGACTGCATGAGCACTGCAAACGGAGTATGTGTGAACCGCCTCACATACAGCTCACAAAATCAGGCTTGCGCTGTGTGTAAGCTATTGTGCCACAATTGCACGATTGTAAAACATTTAGGTGAGATAAATGTTAAATTTTTCAAAAATTTTCATTTTTGAAAAATGTCTAAAAAATGCCCCCCTCCACCCCTCAAATTAAAATCCTGATTGGCGTCTTACTATAAATAATTCTACATGATAAAAAAGAAGGCTTTAAAAAGATCGGTATCGGTGATCGTATCGGCAGATACTGCTTTCTGTGATCGGCCTCAAAAATCCTGATCGGAGCACCCCTAATTATTACAATACTATTAAAGTCTTTATTCATTTTTAAAATGTTTTTTATATTTCCTGTTTTTAACTGTAAATAAAATGTTAGTAATTTTGTTGTTTTTTGCCATTTTTATTAGTTTATTATTAAATAGATTTAAATGTTATTTCAGTTTTTATTTTAGTAAATCAAGTTAAACTAGCTGCTAGTGCAACAAAAGCTGAAAGAATTAAAATATATATATATATATATATATATAAAACTCAAAGTTAACATCTCTGGATACATTTAATTTAAAATTAAATTTAAAATTATATTCTATATTTATTTTTATTTCACATTTTTATGATTTAATTAATTATTAGCTTTTCATCAAATCACAAAATACCTGTGGTTCTTTTACAAACCTAAGTTTGAGAAACCCTGCATTATGGTAATGAGAATTTGGAGTGTGTTTTATTGTCATTAATAATAATAATAATAATAATGTTGCAGAGGAAGAAAACCTTAAGGGTGCTAAAATGAATAGATAAATGTGACCCTGCCTGGACCAAAAAAAAGTCGCTGGGGTATATTTGTAGCAATAGCCAAAAATACATTGTATGGGTCAAAATTATCGATTTTTCTTTTATGTCAAAATCATTAGGATATCAAGTAAAGATTATGTTCCATGAAGATATCTTGAGAATTTCCTACCATAAATATATCAAAACTTCATTTTTGATTAGTAATATGCATTGCTAAAGACTTAATTTGGACAACTTTAAAGGCGATTTTCTCAATATAAATTTTTTTTTGCACCCTCAGATTCCAGATTTTCAAATAGTTGTATCTCAGCCAGATACACAAACATAAGACACACGCATGCTGAAGTATTAGATATCAGCAGATGGGGAACGGATGCCGATTTGCTGACTCACTCCGCTATAAAGTGTTCATTACGAGATCTTTCCTCTGACAACATCGAAAATGCATTAGAAAGTACAGCGAGAGTTTTAAAACGTGGCCTCTGCGCTGACAGGAAGTTAAAAGATCCATGAAATGAAAAGAGACCGAGATACAACAGCCACAGAAATTGATTTTCTGATGCTAAATGCGGCTGTGGTGGACTGATCAATCACGCTTGTTTGTGAATGTGGCGTTACAGGATGGCCCAGCGTGGTAAACACAATGAAATGGCCTTCAGGAGCCATACAGCTAAAACTGTGGTTGACCAACAAGAGCATCATCAGTTCTGCACCATCCACCAAAAACATGTCATGTAATTGTTATGGTTATTTCTGCAGAGAAATGAGTTACAGGCCCTGTAATGTTTTCATAGTCACTGTGTTAGTCTATTGGAGGAATAGTTATTCTGTTTTGTAGTGAATGGGTGCCGTCAGAATGAGAGTCCAAACAGCTGATAAAAACATCACAATAATCCACAAATAATCCACACCACTCCAGTCCATCAGTTAATGATTTTGATGTGAGAGACAACAGGAGATGGACTTTTTCACTGGAGGAAGCATTATTATTCATTATTGACTCGTATTTTGGCCAAAGTGAAGTTAAAAAGGCAAGGCAAGGCAAGGCAAAGTTTGGACTGAAGTGGTGTGGATTACTTGTGGATTATTGTGATGTTTTTATCAGCTGTTTGGACTCTCATTCTGACGGCACCCATTCACTGCAGAGCATCCATTGCTGAGCAAG